TCTCCTTCATCAAATCTTTAATATTCATGCGGATAATTATGTTTATAATTTTTTGAGAGAGAAGTAAATATGGGACTTATTCCACACGCTACCTCATAAGTCAATGGTATTTGTTAGGGAGAGGGACGTGGTGTCTTTGAATTCTTGCACTTACGATAAACATAATGATCAGTTTTTCGAGACACAACGTCCAGAACAGCCCAATTTAGCAAACAAAGCAAAAAACATTTTAAGCTTAGCTAGCTTAAACGCTTCAACTGCTTAATTAGCCAAACAAGAAAACACAAATAAACTGCACAAGTTGCAAAGTTATTTTAATTGGTGAAAGTGGTTCACACGATCAAAGAAGCTTAAGTAGTTGAACTGGACAAAACGTATAATTCACTAATCGGTTTCACTACACAATCTGAACAATTTGGCCATAACGGATAAAATGGTTTTTATCTTTTTTGCACAATTTAAGCTAGTTTGACATTTTGAACCAGTCCAACCATTTGAGATAGACTGTGCGATCTGCACAGTTTAGCTGTTTTCGATAGTTTTATTAACTAGTCAAAAATTATGAAATAGCCAAGCCGAAGAAGATGGCTAAATATGCAAATAGACCAATCTTTTCTCCGTCAGTTGCAGTAGTTCATATCATCAAACGAGCTTAAAAAGTTCAACTGGAAAAAATGCATTACTAGCTTAAACAGTTTAAACGGTAAAATAGTCAAACTCTTCCAAACAGTAACTGCACAGTCTACAGAACTTCTGTCAACTGGTTAGAAAAGTTCAAATGGTCAATCCAGCTTAAATTATTGGAGTGGACATAACTCAGAACTAGCTGAAATGGTTAAACTAGACAAAACAATTTGTGCAGTGTAACTGTGTTCCCCTGTTTGACTATTTAACTAGTTGAGTCAATTTACCTGGTTTGACCATTTTAACTACTGGATTCAATTAAGCTACATTGTACAGATTCTAAAGCTAAATCAATTGACCCAGTTATGCATTTTGTTCAATCAACCATTAAAGCTAGTAATAAATTTTGTCAGGCTATACCATTAAGGCTAATATCTTTTAACGACATTAACCAAGTAGGATCGCTTGTAAGATTGGAGCAGCTCAACTCTTTTCGCTAGTTTGACTATTTAAACCAATTAAAGTAATAAAGCCCTTCTACTGACTAAGCTAGTTAAACCATTTGAACTAGTTGAAGTAGTTAAGGTAGATTATGCAATAAAACGATTTAAGTTATAGTTTTTGCCCAGTAAATATTTCAACTAGTTTGACCATAGTAACTACTTTAACCATTCGATATGAATTGTGCAATTTCTGCAGTTTCACCGTTTTTGCTAATTTGTTTATTTAACCAGGTCAACCAATTAAGCTTGATGGAAAAGTTGAACCTGTTAAGTTGTCTATGCATTTTGTCCCCTGGAAAAATTGCAGGTGGTTGAACCATTTAAACAAGTCTAACCAATGGAAAGAGATTTTGCAGTTTTGCAGGTTTTTTGTTTTCGATAGTTTGACCAACTGGTTTAATTGTCAAACCAGCGAAGATAGTTAAATACATAAGTAGTAAAACCAGTCAAACTAGCTTTAATAACCTCGACAAGACAAAGCGGATAACTAGGTTAAGTAGTTCAAACGCTAAAATAGTCTACATAATAGCTACACAATTTACACAACGTATGTCAACAGGTTAGACAATTCCAAATGGTCAATCAAGCTTAAACTCTTCAATTAAACAAGATGCATTGTTATGCATTTTGCCCAGTTAAACAACTTAAGTTTGATTGACCATCTGAACTCGTGTAACCAATTGACATAGCTAAAATGGTTGACCATGTTAAATGTCAATCGAACAATAACAATTGAACTGCGCAAATTGGACAATCCATCTTAATTTGTCGAAGTGGTTCGTATGGTCAAACTAGCCTAAAGGCTTTAACTGGGCAAAATACATAATTAGCTTACTAGGATCAACTGCACAATCTATCTCCATTGGTCGAAGTAGTTTACATGGTCAAACTCGCTGCAATTGAAAAAAAATGGATAACTAGCCTAATCAGTTAGACTTCACAACCTGGACAATCTAAATGGTTAGCCTGGTTTAACAGTGAAACTGAGGTCATCTGAGAAAAAGTGCACAATCTATCTCTACTGGTTAAAGTACTTTAAACTGCCAGACCAATGGAGGGAGTCA